TTACAGACCGGTCTGTAAAGTCTGTAAAAAGTCTGTTTGTTTTACATTGGTCTGTATTTTATTGCTGGGCAAAGTTTTCATTGACATTCTGCTTTAATCAGGGTTCCTACCAATGTTAAATATGTTTCAGATATGCCATGTGTCTTCTCTCAGCAGATGCGAGAAAAATACCGATGGGCTGCGGCTGTGCCCGGTCGGCCGGAACAGGCAAAGTGCTCGTTAGACGGGAAGTTGATCAGTGTGCGCAATGGTGCGATTCAGTTGGGGCAACATGAGAAGCAGAAAATCCATATCGATGCTGCAGCGGCGCTTCCTAGACAACCTTCTATTCGAAACTCGCTGGTCTCCGCTGTTGACGACGACTCAGGGCGGTTGAGAGCCACATTTTACCACGTTGTTCGAATTGCTTTGGATGGTGGCTCGTTTCGAAGCAGTGACTGTGTCCCGAAAGCGTTCTTTGTATTCGGTGATGTTTCCAGATTCCCGTTTTGCCAAAATTTGTTGTGGGCGAACCAAGGCGCGATATTTGCTTGTTCACGCACTGGCACCATTCGCCCGTTCCGAGGTCATTGATATGTTGAAAGGGAATTTATACGGAATACACGTGGATGAAAGCAGTTATCACAACAAAGTGAGATTGGAATTTTTGGTCGTTCATTTCGACCACTCAAACGAACGTAGACCGCGGTACTTGTCAACCATTGAGCTAAACGTTCAGTTTGATATTAACGAGTTTTTATCTTCGCCATCGAACACCCAGTCATTGCAGTCGCTGAGGTTGGTAGACTCGAATTCCCTCTACGAAGCAACTCTCTCTGTGCTGGACAAATTTAAACTGGAACTTATCAATTTTGCGTACATTATGACAGATAACTGCAGTGTCATGCGTGGTAAGCTATCTGGCTATATCACAAAAATGACAGAAATTGCCCCAAATATGTTGTCACTTGAAGGATGTGGATGTTCAAACTCCTTTATTGGGTTTATACGGTTGCCTTGGGAAAATGTTGGAACTATTCATGAAACTACTCAACAGACTTGGCCATTCTCTCATTCTTTCTCCAGCAGGTTATGTTTCAAATTTGTATGACACTAAAACCGGAAAGCCCCTAAGATTTCCTAACAAATCATCCGCGCTCCATATCACGGAATACGAACATGTACAAGTTGCTCTGGATCAACTATCCGAATATGATCTTAAAGCCATACAACTGCTCTGGTCACAGTACAATGAGCAACAGCTCCATCGACTTCTTGACCGATTTTCGCCGTTTCTTCTTTCTCCGATCGTTCGCAGATGCTATATTATATATGAAACGCAGAGTTCCGACAAGTATATCAGAGTTCTGGGTAACCTATGCAAGTACGTGCATTGCAACGGAGTCAAAGCATTAGATGAGCTTGCTAGTGTTCGTCTGGAACACACCACTGAAGCTTCCCTTGACGCCATGTTTACTCAGTCTCTCCTTTCAACCTCTCCCACTCTTCGCCGTCTCGTGCAATCAATAAAAATAGTTATTCCTCATAACATCATTGTCGAAGCCGGATTTTCGAAAATGAAATTTAGCGAGGGCGTTTTTCTACCAGGAACTGGCGCTGATCTTTACGACAGTCTAAGATTTGTTTCTGATTTCTTCGACAGAGAGTCCTTTGAGAAATACATTCCGTCCCAAATTCTTCTGAATCAGATGTCTGCAGCAAGCCATCTTTATAAGGAATCTGAGAAGCAGTGCATGAAAGAGGAAGACAAATTGAAAGTGAAAAGCAACGAGTTGCATCGGCAAATTGTTATTTACCAACGGAGATCGTCAAAAGTCCTCAAGCGCGAACTGTCAGAAACAGAAAAAGAATTGCCAGAAGCCGAAAAAGTCCTTCAAAATATCAAGGAGAAGAAAGAGCGACTCCAAAACGAACAAAGGTGAATTAATTCCCGATCAGATGACATTTCAGCGAAGATTGTAAACGTGATCTTGAAATAATCATTTTGTTCTTTTTTGTTGTAATTTAAACTATCATTCGAAATAAATTTTTTGTGGAATACTAGTTTTTGCTGCGTATTCAGGCTAGTCTGTATTTTTTCACGCCCGAAGTGGTCACCCTGATTCTAGCCTAGGTTACTGCTGTCTGTAACTTGTAACAAAGTTTTCGGACAATGTCCTATCCTTATGGAATAAAAGGGAATAAAACGTATTTCACTATGTTTTTTCTTCGTTCGAAGTCATCGTTGCTAATTCTTCAGCTTCATGCTGTTTTAATCTTATACGTGTTGCGTTGCTTGTGAAGTGCAATGCAGTTTTGCCTCTTTAACCTTCGAGAATATTTGAAGACGAATTTATGAGCGTAATGAGTCTGTAGTTTCTGACTGATTGTTTGTCTACGTTTTTTGCTAGGGTTTTATATTAATTAGTTGCTCAAATAAGTGACTAAGTAAGATGTAGTTTTTTGGCAGTGGCATTGATTCAACGTGTTGACGTATACTGAAAAAATCATAGAACTTAATCGTATAATCCGACCATCGTATAACGTCTAAGCGTACATTTTGGATTCCGTATATAAATGTATGTATAAAGTCGCTCAACGTTTTGTTTTGCTGCTCGATCATTTTGATAACATGAGCTGCTCCTAATATCAATCAGTCTTACAGTATTCAATGGAAAAACCCTTGTCTCACAAAAAAGCGAATTATCGTTTTCGTATAGTTGTATAATTAATCTTATAAATGTGATTTCTATATTCTCATATAGCATAAGGTTTTTTCGTATAATTTGTGTATCGTATAACGTGTACAAAACACAGGTTTTGAACAAATGTTCAAGTGAGAAGAAGGTTCTCGACGCAAGTTGCTTTGAATGCAAAATGTCTAGCCCGCCCGATTTTTTGTACATCACTTCAGATCGAGGCAGTCTTGAGCTTCTTTAATATCCGTTTTGTAGAAATCACTCTTGCTATTTTCAGTATCATAAGCTATCACGGCAGAAATGGGGTTTCCTTGATGTTACTCGCTAGTTCCTCCCTTTCAAGCTTGTTAGTTTTTCCTTATTTAGTGCCACATCTGAGCGCTGAGCTTCAGTTGCAAGGGAGTTGGTCAAATTGATGTCAGTCGAGGAATTGTCTCCCTCCTTGCTGATTTTTATAGGAGCGAAAAGCCTGTCAATTCTAATGGCTTCACTCATTTCATTGTCATTCATGCGGTTATAGACAGTACTTTCAAAGACGATACCTCTCTTAATAAGATATAGGGTAAAGCTGATATTAATTTCTCTTGACTTGCTTGTCCTATTAAATCAGTGAAAATATCATTTGGAGTACTATAAGGACTTTTTACTGGTGCACTGTAAATGCATTATGCATAGGAGTCGACATTTGTGTTCAAATAAGTCGAGTAGTACCATTACAGTGTCCATTTACTTGATAAGGGGATCGATCGATTCTGGAGTATTTTTGTTATAAGCTAGGGTATTGCAATCGGGTACTAGACTTTTTTCAGTAAATAATTTTGTTCACAGGACTCTTCTGGACTAATCCCTAGTGGTACCTTGTTTCATAATATATTCAATTTTCTTAGCCTTCTGGGTCAAATTAGCCTGGAGGTAACGAGTACGACTGGGACGGCAAAGGTTCTGGTTTCGAATCTGACCAGGACTTTTTATGAATTTTTTAAACGGAAAATATTCTGTTTCAGATAACATTGTCGGCCATTTATTTGTCTGCTTATCTGTTGTTGGCTTAGTTGTCAGATGTTGGAATCGTTTTATTTTTGCGGAGCGCATTTTTCTTTTATGTTGCTTTTAGTGTATGATTTACTCCTACAATTTGTAACCTTGATTTCGTAGTTCCTTCTATTTTTTTGTTTGGCTTGAAAACTTTCTTCGGCCTAAGTTCTTTCCGCCTAATTTTTATCAGCTTAATGGTCTAAATTTGGGTAATTTCAAAGGAATTACAATTGTAACACTCCATTCCGCACTGTCCAAGTTGGTTGTACGCTTACCACTCGGTTTGTTGAAATTTATTTTTTTTTGTTGCCGAAAATTTATTCAAAAACTTCTACTGATTTTCATAAAAGGGATATCAATGGAAAAACTGGCTTCTTCTCTGTGTGCCTGCATACTTCCTCAGTCTTTTTTTATACCTCACTCATTTGTCTACAGCCTCAGAAAAGTCGATGGGCGAATATTTGACCCATTTTTTTCGTGTTCTCGAAAACTACCTCTCTCAAATCTGAGTTTTTGGTTTCAATGAATAAAATGGTTTTGAAAAGTTTCCCTGAATAAGCGGCTGCGCCTTCATTTTTTTTACAGATAAAGTTTTTGCGCTCGGAATAGTCAAATTTTTTATTTTTTGTTAGTTTTTAAAGTTTTTTCGAATTTTCTCGAAAACTACCCTGCCAAATCTATCTGAGATTTTGGGTTCAGTCGAAATTGCGGCAGTTCAGATCCGGAAGAATTGGGTTCTTCCCGCGAAGCACAGAGTTGACGATATCTGTGCTCTTCGTTAGGCAGGTTTATTTTCGGTATTGCATTTCATGAATAAAAAACCAAGATTTAACTTTTTGAATTTAAAAGGCACTTAGTTGGCGTTGTTCTGATAAATACTGAAATGTTTTATGATCAAATTAGTAGTTATTATCTTTTTTTCTTATAATAACTACTAACTCATTTTTTTGCTGAAAGTTTTAAGGTATTTCTCGGTATTTCTGTTAAATAGATCGTTACCGTTTTAAGTTAAATATTCAATTTTCGGAATAAATATCAAAGACGCATCAGAAGTAAAATAAAGTATAAGAGATGATTTTTTTTGTAGGAAAAGTTCAAGTAAGACAGTCAGAAATAGAATGTTATGAACATATTTACATAACTGTTCAACAGTCAAAAAGAGAAAATAAAGAAAAAGTCTACTTATAGTTCAGAGTGCGTGAAACTGGAATGGATATGAATCAGAATGGAAATTATGACGTATTTAGGAAATCAACACCATGGAAATATGTTTTTGTTTTTTTTTAGAAATAGTTTCAACCACCTGAGTGACGCAGTGAGACTGGCGCTCCTGTACAAAAGAGGAGGCATCTATATCGACTCGGATGTAATATCAATGAGACGGATAGATTTGAACTCACACTACTTTGCAAGAGCTAGTGGGGGCATGTTCAGTGAGTTGGTTTTTGTCTTCTGTTAATTTTATACCTTGATTGTCATTGCTGGCTGTGTCTCGTTTTGTGCAGCTTGTTTCTTTTTGTAGCCATTAATTGAGTGACACTTTTCCAATTGCTGCTAGGCAGATAAGACGACCGGACATTTAAACGACATTTTAAATGATCTGTTGGAATTTAACCTGTTTATATTTCTCGGAAATACAATTGAAGAATGTGTAGCGTCATCATAAAGCTCACAGTTGTCGTCTGTTGATCGGAATCGGACACTTTTCCAACTATCTGTTGTGGTCATTGTTTAAGAGTTGTGTTTACGCCTATAAAGCGGAAGGTTGTAAACTCTATTTTCAAAGGTTGAAGTGTGTTTTTCAGGTTTTTTTTGAGGCATGTTTTCTATTCTAGGCCTCCTCGTTGGTTGTGTACAAAGAGGAGCTTAGCCCTTGTGAAAAAAGGTATCGGAACGCTAACATTTTATTTATAAAATGATGTTTAACACTTCATTACAACATGATTTTATTTAGATTATTTACTTCAGCCAACCTTTGTTTTTCTAAAATGTCTAGAATTATTATTTTTCGAATTGTTAAGGTTCTGATTTGTTGTCAAATTTGAGATGTTTTCAAATGCTTTTGTATGTAATATGAAGCTTTGTTCCAATGAAAAATGTTGACCGTAAAATTGTATTTGTTTTGGATCTTTATTTATTATCTCACTCATTTTAGGCTCATCAGTGCTCAAATCAGACACAGCGAATGAGCGGCTACTCTATACTGCAATGAGAAAAGGCGTCTCTGGTTACAACTCGTACTATTATGGATCTATGTTCAAGTCATTCCACCAGGCGGCAACCAAGTACTGCAGACAATGGAGACCAATGATGCCATCTGAAAAGAGGACGGATCCAGGTTCTTCTAAGATAGATTGGTCCTTGGAAATCGGAATTGTGAAACAAGCAAGTCGTTCTTAGCGTGAAATAAAAAAGATATCATTTTTGATGCAGGTGTCGAGTTAAAACGAATATTTTTATCCGCTAAAATGTGTTATCGAGAAGCATATATAAAAGAGTTCAGACATAATATCTGTTGGCTTTTGATGACCTTTTGATGAGCTCCTTAGCATCCCTGATGTTATGATATTCGAGGTCTAGAATTTGCATAAGAAGGATCCCCGCGCTCAAAATAAAGAGGCCTTTCAGTGATTGATTATTCACACTAGCTAAATATTGCACTGTTTCGCGAATGGCCTTGAATAAAGACAATGATGATATCGTTTTCAGGGACCAGTCTATCAGAGTTGTACCTGAATCCAGGCAGAGTAGATGTTTGTGTTTCGGATAGAAAATGGAAGATTTACGGTGTGTATAGTTTTTTCTCGTCATTATTTCAGAACAATAAAGCATAAATATATATTAGTGTTTTCATTGTTTCTACGAATCAAACGATTGTTTTTCATTGTTAACATTCTTGGTACGCTTTTCAGAGTTGGTTACATCTAAGAAAGATAAAGATTAAAGTTGGAGAGTTTCATCAGGAAATTTTCATCGTATAAACATCTTGAAATGCAAAGTGCGTTAATGCAATATCTTTTTTTTCTCTGACATTGCCGTGGAAATAATCGGTCGCTATTTCGGTTTTCATGAGTACCTGTCTGTTGGTTATTTTTTTCGCGAGATGAAACATCTGCCAGCTTCTTTAGCCCTTAATGCAGGATGTTGATACTCAGCCTTATGATTCTCACGTGATTTTGATCTTACTTTGGATATTTCACAAAAAGCATGAAAATATGCATGAAGTTTATAACTTGAGGGTAATCAATAAAAACAAAGATATCTAAAAGTGGCGTGATTCGACCAAATACCTTTCAACAGATTCAAGTGTCGTGATTTTCTAGTCATATGATTTTAATTGTCGTTTGCGTCAACTATTGTTCATGGTTTGAGCTGAAAAGAGTGGCGTGACTTTTATATTTAGATGCGTATGTACATATTTGCCATATTTGATATTCAATTTTTTCATAAATTATGTTAGTATTGTTTTGTTAAAATGTTTGCTGTGATGAAAAACGTCAATGCAGTCGTATTTTCTGTTGTGCTTTAATGATTCTTGGTTTAAATGTCCATAGTTTTTTTCTCATTCGCTTCGTGATTTTTTCTGTGTGAACAATGTGCTGTCGTAGCATCAAATTTTGCAGTCAGATTTTGCAGGCAGACAGATGATATAAATGTACGGCGTTCTTTTTTTCGTTCATTTCGAGTTAGGCTTTGTGAGATTAACGCCAGAGTCGAATGGAACGATAAACATTTTTCTTTTTTGTTACTTTTAGTGTATGATTTACTTCTGCTGCGGGTAATTTTACTAACCTTGAGTTCGTATGTTTTTTTTTGTTAGCTTAAAAATTTTAATCGGACCAACAATATTTCTGCCTGTTTTTTATCGGCTCAGTGACCTAATTATGTGTCCCTTTAAGGCAAGCACAATTTTAGGCCCTCACTTGAACTTTTAAGGTAGTCGTATTTTACCACTCGGTTTTTTCGAAATTTCTTTTTTTTTAAAGTTTTTTACTTTTGTATTTTTCGGCTAATAGGTTTTGGCTTGTGATATATCGGCTTAGAGGCCTCTTTTTGGGTCGTTTGATGAGCAAAAAGGTTTTACGTAAACTTTTTGATGGTAGATTGAAATTTTTTTTTGTTGGAGTTTTGAGTTGCTGTAAAAAAGCAATGTTTTTTCGGCGCAAAGTGCGTTTGCTCAAGAGTGGCTTTGTAAGTTTTTTTTTCGATGCTTATGTTACATTCAATTGCTTTACTTCTTGGCATATTTTCTTGAAAGGGATTTTTTTGAAGACAAAATTAAGAAAAATGGAGGAAAGTTTTTGGTAGAGCAATTTTCTAACTGGTAGTTTTTTTCTATGGCTTTTATCTCCATTTCTGCCGGTCATGCTATGTATTTGATGTATCGCAAAGAAAGCGAAGCGTTGCCTCGCATGTTTATGAAAAATTTATAAAGGTGACAGAGTTTCAGTTCCAAGATTTCGGATTTTTTTTTCAATGTTTATTATTTTTTGAATTTTCGATTTGTCGCTTTATCTGCAAGTAGTGATATTCCGATAGTCTGTTGGAGTTTAGAATTCCTAATGATTGAAACAGTATATGAAATTCAAACAGATTTAGATTGCCATCGATTATTTTTGGTTATATTCGTTTTTCTACAAAGAATAGTAATCTATTCATGGCATGACTGGAGCATAGTTTTTATATATAGTTGATAATCATTAGATGTTTTCTAGTCATATGATATTATTTGGTTTGTAAATCGTTTTTGTTCACTCATTGAGGTCTACAGAGTGGCGTGACTCTTGCGATTGATATTTGACGTTTTGGTTTAAATTATTTCACCTTTTATACTTGTTATAAGAGCGTTTTTATGGACTCTGGTAAACCGTAAAGTTAATTGTATTCTAAACTGTCGGTAGATTTTTTGATCCCCTGATAGCTTCAGTCACATGATTTGCTGTCGTCCGTGCCGAAGTTGATGAGTGCTCATAACGCTCTTGGTGTTAGCTAATGGTCATATGATTTTGGTAGTTTGCATAAATGGCTTGTTCGATCGTACGTCTTTAAAAGTGGCGTGAGTCTTAGTTTTAGATAGCTTCTTAAATAAGTATTTGCGTTGATTTGGCTTTTTTTGTGTTTGGCGTTTTTGAGCATTGATTGTATAAGTTAACCATTTTAAGCGAAAGTTGTTATAAGTTTGCAAATAATGATGACCTCCATGATTATATCAAGCCGAGTAAAAATTTAATTTTTCGGAATTTGACGTGGAGTCAATTCTGCAACGAGCAATAGCAGTTGTAATGATTTGCTTCGCTTATGCGAAATGTTTGAGCAAAGTTTTTTTCCTAAAATGAAAAAGAAAACAGACTAGAATTGAATTTTGTCGAAGAAGCTCAATTTAATTTGACCGATTTTGATGAAATGAAAATGTACCATTTGAATTTCTACGATTCCGAGTTTTTATGTAGGTCACCCATAAGTAACCAGTTTGGAAAACCTTAAGTTCCCAAACGAGAAGATCTCAGTCGATAAGATACCATTCCAAAAGATACCTCGTTCTAAAATTGCCCACGACATAAGAATTGAAAATGAAGCGGTTAATCGATCAAAGTAAAAACAAGCGTCGGTTAAAATCAAAGAAACAACAAACTTTTGCTGCACAAGTTTCGAACATAAATGACCTTGCTAATCACTTGGCCTTCAAATTGAAACTCAATCGAAACAGCGTAGACTACAAATTAACTTGAAAAGGGTTTACAATTAATCAAAATCCTGTGCTAGCCGAAAATTGCCAGATTTTTCAAACAACTGAAGTGGGTACAAAATTGAAATTCTTTGTTTTGACAGTTTTTTTCGCTAGACGCAATACAACCCCAACCTAGCGTCCCATAAAAAGGGCAATTGCTCTGGGATTAACTTGATAGAGACAGCAATTTCCAATGCGAGTCGTAGTATTGCGTTTCAGCGTTCTCCTGGAGGGTGCAAGGAGACGTCTATACAAAGATGATCAAACAAATTTAAATTTAGAAATTAGGAAAAAACTAAATTTAATAGGTTAAATGAGCAAGCGAACGGATATAAGACAATGTGTTAGAGTCTGTGAATGAACCAGTTATATGTTGAACTTTTTTCATTCAGATCATGGTACTTTTTCTGGGATAAGTTGATAGTACCGCTGGATGCCTTCAAATTATTGAATTTTTGATTAAAGGAATCCAGTTGATTTTTTTTCAAGAAAATTGAAAGTTGGTTGCTTTCAAACTAAGCGGTTACACGTAGATGTCACCCTTAAACTTCATTTGTTTTTTGGGCTAGACCACACTCAGCATTTTGATAATGGTTCCATAAAGAACTAGGAAAGATTGTTTTTCGGCAAATCAAATCCCCTTTAATGTATGTTTTTTTGGAAAGAAGCCGTGAGCTCGTCTAATGTTTCGAGTCGCTTTGTGAAATATCTAGTTTAGTGACCACGCTGCATATTCGTCAATTACTAGGTCGAACCCAATTTCTACTTTTGACTCCGGCACAAAACTAAGAGCAGGAATCATATGAAGCGCTAAGACTAACTCGCTGTTTGATTCGTAAATCTTTTGAAGGCCTAATTTGGATTCTTTCTGCGTAAAGCTCTGACAGAGGTGAAAATAACATCCCTTAATGTCAGTTTGGTAATGAGACGCAAAACAACTAACGCAGCAGTTTCAAAGTCGATGAAAATTCTTTCCGGGTCACGTCACCGATAAGCAATTGAGATGTGATTTGGCATCTTGTAGGTTAAGCATTTATTGCTGAACAGAGCGTAGACGCAAGATGGATAAAACCCGTCAATCTGAATGTGCACAGTGTAGAGCTGGTAAACCTGACTGGGGCAAATTTTGAAAGTGCTGTCTACAAGCCAGGTTCTGTTGTACAATTTAAGCGCATTGAGGTTCTCAATGTCGCCATAAATCAATATGCGTTCCGTATCTTTTTTGCTGTCGAAAATACAAAATTGCTTGAAACGATCCGGTGTATCGAAATGACGGTCGTCTGTGGCAATAGTGGCCTGGGATGTCGTTTGGTTACTACTGTTTGGATTTCGCGTTATCGCCGACCGGGAAGGAAAAGACAGTTGGGTCCTGCACCAATTGAAAACTAGATGCGATGATCTGGCTGTTTACTGGATCCAGTTGATTTCTAACTGTCTCCTTCATTCGCTGACGATTTGTCGAGCTTCTGAGCGTCCTGCGTTGAGATCGTGACTATGCTCGCTGCTGTTTGGGATTATATCGGTCCCAAAAGTGATTTAAGTTTTCGGGCGCTTATATGATCTCCATTTGCTGCAGCGCCAGTGTATTGTTGTCTTTGCATCGCGTTCCTTATGAAATTAATAGCCGTCAAGAATAATAAGTTTTGGCCTTTTTTGTGAGGTTTCCAAAGTATTGACTATTCAATGAGTTAATGAGTGAGATAATGAATGCAGAGTTTACTTTTTCAATGGAGTTGTTCTAATTCAATGCCCTATTATTATTAAATTAAGCACATGCTGGCAGTTTGTTAGTTCAAAAAAAATGAGTCCAGTTTGAATTTGGTTATGTTAGACTTGCGTTGTTCATTAATAGCGCGAACCTAATTGAGATATCCTTACTCTAGATTTATTTCTGATTGCTTTTTGAACATGGCTTTCGTTCATCTTTCATGGGATCTTTCTATTTTGCTTGGGATCTTATGGTATGTTATCTTTTGTCCTGACACCGTTCTTACATTTAATCAAAGTTCGGCTCTTTCTCTTAGGCTTATTTTAATGTTATAATCGCTGTTGAGAAAAATGGGGTTAAGCTACACAGTTTTTAGCTGGCCCTCTTTTTGTTTCAGACCGCAATTCCAATTTGAGTTTCAATTATCGAATTGTGTTTAATATTGGTTAACTGAATCCATTTTTTTGTACTATTGATTTCTTTCTAATATTGACTACTAAATTATTACAAATCTGATTGAGTTAAACTTTTCGTTTTAAGCTGACTACACCTGGATCTGTAGAAATTATTCTACCATAATTGAACTGTACCTGTTTCCTTATTTACACAAGCAGAGCTTGTGTGGTAGTATGAACTCTCTTTTTTCCCAAGCTAAGTCGCAGATGTTAGTGTTCATTTTGGAAATGTTTTTTTTTATTGCAGTGTGTGCATAAGATCAATAACCAGCCATTAAGTAGAGCCAATGCTGACGATTTTAACACTTACTGTTATATTACACATAGCACTTCGATCAACCGTTAAATCCATCACCGTTAAATCGAAAACCGTCATTTTCTGAAAAATCCATATCTTCTCCATCTTAATAATTGGGGGGGGGGGGGGGGGGGGGGGGGTTGATCCTAGCACTTTAGTTTCACGTTATCATGGATCTGGAGCGTAGAGGTAGGGAAGGAGACCCGCAACAAAAAAAGAGGGTTCGAACCTGGGCAGGTTCGGATGTTTTAATGAACTTTTTCGTATACTAGTTAAAATGCGTCGGTTCTGTAAATTGAGGCATTTTAGTTGGTAAATTGCTTTGTTCAGATTGACTATACTGCTAATGCGTCATAATTGGCTTGCGTCACTTAGCAATTACGTAGACTCATAATTGGCGTGCGTCACTTAAGAAGTTATGTAGACTCAAAGTTATACTTTTTCAGCTTTTCGCATATTTTGCTTTTGTATGCGAATTGCAACTTTACCTGTGTTTTATACATGTAATCAGGGGCGGATCTAAGATTTTCTCGAGGGGGTTGGATTTTCAATAAAACTTCGAGTTTTTTGTCGACTTTTTTTTAGGTCGACCGAATTGATTTTTCGAACTCTCCCAAAGCACTTTTTTGTCTCTGTTTTGGCCAAAATTTCTGCGCCGCAGGCAAAATTTTGAAAAAAAAACAGGCCAACAAAGGCGTCTTTTTTTTGGAAAATTTTGACCAAAAATTGCGGTTTTTCGGCGCGCACTCCCCCCTCAAAATTAGTATATATTGGCGCCTAAGGCGCCTTAAGAAAATTTTTAGGGTTCATAGCCAAAAAAGGATATTGGAAAATAGTACAAAAGGGGGACCCTTTGGTTCGGCAAACTGTCGAATCCCTGAGGGGGTGGGGAGCGCTCCACTGGTTAATTTGGTTAATCCCCGCTCCACTGGTTCATTTGGTTTAGCGTTAAATTGGTAATTTTAACTTAGATGTCAAGTTGGAAGAAGTGCAAGTGATCCTATGGGTAAAGATGCTGTTGATGTTTTAGGTCACAAAAGTGGAGCGCTCTGTCAACATTACGCTTCCATTGCCGAAAGAAATGAGGATAAAATCAAAAAAGACTTAGAAGAACTTGGAAAAGAAAACTGCTCAATGTTTCACTACATGGAAACATACCACGGAAGAAGAAAATCAAGTTTGTCAAAGGAAACAAACAGTCTTTTAAACAAAATTAGGAAAAATTTTTGTCCAATAACTTACAATACATTGTACTGATGTTTCAATATATCGTATCATAATTATCACAAGTTATCCACATAATTTGGAAGTAATGAGTTAAATAGATCTTTTCAGTGATAGACGTAGTTTTTCCAGAAAGAAGTGAATTTTCAATCAAGTTCATGATTTTTTGCTTGCCCCTATCTAGTGTCGCATAACCGAAACTTTTTAAGACGAAGTAACTCTTTTGAAGAAAAAAACAAGACATAGTACTCCATTAAATGAAGATCAATTTTTAGCCTTTACATTGATTAGTTTTTATGGACAAAATCTTAGATTTTGTTTCTAATTGACGTCTTCAATTCTTTGTTCACTACTTTCATATCGGAAAAAAGATAAAATTAAATTAGATATTGCTCGAGGTATTTAAAATTTTAAGTACAATTTTGTTTTGTTAATCATAAAAAAAAGTATGGCGAAAAGTTTGAAAAATTCGAAGGCAGTCGACCACTTAAAGTTTTGCTCTTAATCGAGCAACTATCTGGTCTTTTTATACCAGAATGATCAAAATTGCTTAAAAGGGAGATGTGCTTAAGTTCTATTCAGTGGCGTGCGCATAAATTTTTCTAAGAGGGGTTTTTTTAAATTTTTTTTAGGTCGACCAATTTGATTTACCGAGTTCTCCGAAAATTCTATAGGGACCCTATTATGTCAAATTTTTCAAGAAACAATCCAAAAATGGCGTTTTAAAGAACTTTTTGGAAAAATTTGACTAAAAAATGCGTTTTTTGGCGCGCGCGCATCCCTCAAAGTTAGTTATATTGGCGACCAAGGCGCTTTAAAATTTTTTTACAGTTGGTCCGTCAAAATTGATGTCTTTTAGTTATAGCAAAGGGAGGACACTTTGGAAAAATTTGACAACCAGAGCTGAGGTTGAGGGGGGATCGTGTCTGTACCGATAGTTAACTGTAAAGTAAAAACGAAAGAAAAAAAATACAGAAGTAACAAAAAAATTCCTGCAATTGTTAACCAGGGTCACAACAATGTTTCTCCATAGAGAGCTGAATGACGTGTATGCTGGTGTTTTCACTTGTGGATAAATTGTCTTAATACCAAAGAAAAGGAATAAAACTCAGTGTTTAAAAGTCGACCACTGTTTAATCAAGGTAATGGGCAACGAACGATCACTTGGCCGCTGACCAATTGGCAAAGTATGAGGAAATCGGCTGTTTGGCCGTTTTCTATAAAAAAGTTTGCTTTTATTAGCAGAAAAAATGCCTTGATAATTACATAAAAATAAGGGGGACGCCCTTGTAGCCAAATTTATTCCGCAGAAAATAATATTGCGACCACAGGATTTTTTGTAGCAAAATAAGAAAATACCAAGTGAATGGACGAATCAAGGCCGTATGGCAGTAGCAGATTTAGGGGGGGGGGGAGCGGACGCCCCCCCCCTCAGGGATTCGACCCCCTGCCGACCCAAACGGTTCCGCTTTGTACTATTTTGAGATATCCAGTTTTGGCTGACTGACCTCAAAATTTTTCAAAAGGTGCCTTTGGCGCCAATCTATACTAATTTTGAGGGGGGAGCGCGCGCCGAAAAAAACGCAATTTTTTGGTCGAATTTTTCCAAAAAGTGCCTAAAAACGCTTTTTTGGCTTTTTTCAAAAATTTGTCTGCGGTGCGAAAAATTTGGTCAAATTAGGGTCTTTATAGTGGTTTCGAAGAGCTCAGAACATCAGTTTGGTCGACCTAAAAAAAGTCGACCAAATTTTCAAAAAAATTTTGAAAATCAAACTTGATAAATTCCTAGATCCGCGCCTGCCGTATGGTACGTTTTAGCGACCTATCTTAAGTATTCAAGAGCCATATGAAAGCCCCAATCGCTGTTTTGCTGATTCTAAAACTGTATCAGTCTTTAAAATAGGGTCTGAAGTTTGGATACTCAAACAAAACTCATGAAGTGGCGATGAAGTGTTGTCTTTTTTTGAGGTCCAACATTTTTGTTTCTCATATGTACTAAATAAATTTTAAGGTATCTAATGTAATCCGCGGGCCAGTGCCACTGATTTTTTTTCTCGTTTGTTTTTTGCAATGATAGCAATGGGCAGATATTTCAGGCACAGCAACAACCGGACATAAAAAATAGGACATAAAATAATTTGAGCGAAGTATTTTCATCTCAATATTTTTATTTTGAGCTAAAATTGATTTGAAAAACAAAAACAATTTTTTAGCAAATTATTTGTTGAAGCTCCAATTACGACTCAGAGGCGCCTAACATCATATTTCGCTCGACGTTTAATTGCGCTCTATTTAAATTAGAAAAAAAAAATACATCCAAAATTGTCGTAAGGGAACTTTCGATGTTCCATGAACTTGTCTCTAGTTTGTGACCTTGTTCCAATATTAACGTTTCAATATGAATGGTCGCAGCCTAAATGATATCTCATTAGAAACTTCAGTTGCTTGATTTCTGAATCTGAGAATCAGAATATTGGATTCACAGATTAAGTTTGTACCAGATTAAAAAGTGAAATGAGCATTGAAAAGTTTAACACGATTTTTTAAAAAAAATAAGAGGAGTGCAGGCTATCAGGTGCGGTGTGCTAGATCTGTTAAATCTCTTCAGGCTACGAAGCTAATATTGAGCCTTAAAACAAACAATTTGAATGGTGTAATCTGTGTGGCTTAAGCACCGCTCGGTGTTTGGGATGATTAATTTTGTTGCCGCTGCAAAAAAGAAGTGAGTCTCTGCGTTAGTTTTGCATCGGACATATCATAAAATACCACCAATGATTGTAAAAAAAATGCAAAAATGATTCAGTTATGCATGCCAAGAAGAATTTTGAAAAAGAATTTCAAATCTTAGTTGAATTTTTGTACAGTTTGCTATCGGATAAATTAAGTAAACTAATTTGAAAAAAGTGAAAGTGTCTGATAACATATCTTTTTGTTAAGGTCTGAACTGTTTTTGTGTGTAAGGCATAAAAAGCCATTTATACTGTACAGTCATTATTAGTGACGTTTCCATTGGTCTATTGTTTCTCAACTTGGATGAATTGATGTTATTCGAGAATTAAAAACCCTATTAAAAACTAAGACGATGACTCAAAGCAGTTAATTACAAATAATTATTAATAGGCTTAAAAAAAAACAAAGTTTGTTATCCAAACGTCTTGAGCTACTTGGTGAATTAGTAATAAGTGATTTTGTTAGTTTTAAGTGATTCCGTTATGATTTCTCCGCTTACTCAGTTCTCGATTTGAAATTAAAGCTCAAAATTTTGAAAATGGCCGAGTGTCCAGACGTTTTACAAACGGCCAGCTGCTTGATGAAAAATATCAAGCTGTTTTGTAAATTTTCGAAGCGCTCACCAATCATCGAGTTTATGACCATTTTTGGCAATCCATTTCTTTAATCAAAATGACCAAATTCATTTAGTAATTTGCTGTTTCTGGACAACAGTAGTCATTGTTTTGACCAATTGAATAAAAAAAATTTCTTCAATCACGACAGTTTATTCTCAATTTGCCGTAGTTGGCTTTTCATCATCGGATATAGAATTTTTTATCTCGGTCTGAAATTTACAGGTAATTTAATCCTTTTTATTTGCATTGGGATTTAGTTAATGATTTTGAAACTAACTTAAGCCCGTATTTTCCGTGTGGATGTCAAAAAAGTCCCCATAGTGCAAATAATTTCTTTAAACCCTCCGTCACTGAGCAAAAAATCTTCCCTGGAAAACTTTCGCCAGCTTAGTTTTAGATTTTAGCATAGATTGGACGATAATGTTATAAATCACTGCTTGGGCAGGTTCACAGAATGACTGACTTCGACATGACACTGTTTGCGGGATCCGCCATCGCACAGGGTGCGGGCAAACTGAGTAATATAGACGAATGGTGTCCGACTACGAAAGAGAGGCGCTGGCTCCTCATTGCAGGGTCCAGCCACTCCCCTGATGCTGTCACTCTGTCAGAAAAAGGAGAGAGGGAAGCGAGAAGTGTTGCACAGGGTGGGTAGAGATTAATAAGTTATAACAACTTGATGATAATAGTGTAAGTTTTATCATGACGGTTTGCATCCAGTTTTTGTAGACTAATAACGGCTGAGCTGTGCGTATAACAGAAATGAGCTTGCTGAGTGACAAATCATCTTGATCTGTTCCATATGCCCTGACATGGCCGAAAATTATAATTCGAAGTTATGTCGTGGTCAAAGTGTTATTTCGCTCAGAGCTGAATGTTAAAAGTATCCTTATTTTTAACATTCAGCTCTGAGCGAAATAACACTTTGACCACGACATAACTCTATTTTCAAGTTGGATGTACAAATATTCTATAAAATAGTTCGAATATTCTTTAAGCATCAGCATGAAAGACGGCATAAGATCGTAGTACCTGTCGTAAGACGTCCTTTCGAGCAATCAACGGAATTCTTTCTTTACCATTATTGAACCTCAATAATTCCTAAAGTTGTAATTGTTCTCCATAAATCAACGGTATTAATGTTTTCCTCAATCTCAATTCGAATTAAACTTGTTTCACCACTGACGTTTTTGTTAACATTAATTGCTTCACTTTGGTTACATTTGGCATTTTTGTTTATAGGCGAGAGAAGAAGTACCTTTCTGAAAGGAGTGAGCAATGATTTTGTCAACATGGAACGCGCAGTTGGCCACACCCTAAAAAACAAAATCCAGAACCTCGAAATGGAAAAACGAGAAGTGGAAAATCACATAAAGAAATTCTTTGCCTTCTGCAAAACGAACAAGTTCAAACCGATGCTGTACTACAGCGGTCACGGTGAACTGCCAACTGGGAATTGGTGTTTCTCTGACGGGGTAGTTGGAATTGAGGAAATTCTGGAATGGATGCCAGCTGGCATGACTCCGCCTACTATCGTCAGTGATGCCTGTTTTAGTGGAACATGGTCTCATTTTTGCACTCAGAAGCAAATTGAAGGATTCGATTGTCTTTCTGCAACTCAAGATTATCAAGCTGCATACGACCAAGGGGGTGAATTTAAATTATTTTTAATATCTTCCATGTGAAGTAAAATTAAGTTGCTCATTTTTCTTTCTATTGATAAATAATGACAATTTTTGATGAAAAAGATGTATTAACTCAACCTGGTGTTCGTTCATTTTAGATAAAGGAGGAGAGTTGACACTCTACATAACGGGTCACGGGGACCTACTGCCTGATGGAAGACCAACAACATATCCACTGTACAGCAGAGGGACAGACGTGGATTTCAGAGACCAAAAGAAATACAATAAAGTTACTTACATTGATTTTGTCAAATATCACACATTCAATGACAACAACATTCTTCTTTACCAATGTGTGGACGACAACCACGTGATTGCCGTGTTTGGTTCGTATGCAAAATATAAGAACAAGAAGAAAGCTTTTTGGTGCAGTGCAAATTATGAAGAGTTTACGAAAGAGATGAAAACACACAAAAAGTCGGGCAAGTTTATTTTCTCTATCGCAGCAGATCAATACACTGGTAAAATATACACTTACACGATGGAGGGTCATGGTAATTTCCAGACAATGCTGACTTCAGATAGCCCAAAAGATTTAGAGTCTGAAGATCTTTCAATAACAGACTGTTTTGCTCTGAACTCCAAGTATTATTTTGTACTGACAGCCGGAGTAGAAGAATTCGAAGGCAAGACACAAAAAGTGCTGACTGCAAAGACCAGAGCAGATCTGGAGACTGAGATCCAGAAGTACAAATCAAAGGGCATGATCATTACTTCAGTCTGTATCAATGTTGAGAAAGAAGAGTACCTTATTGTCATGACTGAATCAGACCTTCCTCAGGAACACAAGTGGTTTGCAGAAGAAGGAAAGGAGTGGGATAATTGGAGCAGAGAGATGTATTACAAAAATTATTATTATAAAATACGATTTGTGGATCCATTCGATGATCATGAATTGTGTGTAAGGGTAAAAGACAGCAACCTAACTGCCGCGCCTTCTGTTCCCGCCCATCTCTACAGTTAAATGCAAACTCTCTTGCACATGGCACTCCTCATTCTATCAACAAACTCAATTAAGCCCTCGCACAAACAGATTCTTTCGGTTCTTTTGTTCTAACAGTATTTTTTGTTGAGCTAACATATTATATTTTTGCTGTTTTTAATAAATAAAAGTATTTAGCCGTCTTTGTAATCGATTTTTAATGTTTTTTAACATTTTTAATTTAAAAGACTACCTAATCAGCAGATGTTTTGGCTCTATTGTTTGTAGCAGACATCATTTAGAATGAAATATTATATTAAATATCGCCATGTGCTTCTGTATGTGTATAAATACCGTCACCAGGAACTCGGGCTATGGTAATATAATATATAATATATATAATAAAAGTCATAATTTGAAGTTTACCCAAGGGATATATTAATGATAATGTATGCTTATGGAGCTAAGTTTAACTGTTTAAAACTGTTAATTTTTTTTGGCGGATTTTCAACAAATTGCCATATTTCGAAATTGCCATATTTTGAGGCCGAAATTACGTCAGAATTACTTAACAATTGCATAATAAAACAAACACTGACAATATGCTGTTAAGCTGCATAACAATGTTGACTATAGGCTTATTACAATGGTAAATTTATTGTTGTTTGTTGGTCTACCACCAAACTTTTCAAATGTAAAAAAAAATTACCGCAGAAATTAAAAAGCTGTCATCGGAGTTTTTTTGGTTCCCAAAAAATTGAAATTAACTGATCTTCCATTTACTGTGTTAAATGTTTTCTCTAATTTTTATTTTTACTAAAATCAATTTCAATGGCTGCCAGCAATTTGATTCATATCACAATTTTCAAATCAATAATTTCAAAGTCATTGAGGAAAGTCGAAAGGGATCTTGAGGAAAGTCGAAACTATTTCTCCAAGTAATTTTGTAATTGAAGAAAATTCCAATTATTATTTGTATCAACTAAAAATAGACAATGTCAAATAGTTTTTCTAATTGAAGAAAATTCCAATCATTATTTGTATCATTTAAAAACTGACAATGTCAAATAGTTTTTCTCATTGAAGAATGTTCCAGTAATTTTGTGGAAGCAGTTTTCTCATTGAAAAAAGTTTCAGTGAGGATTGGAATTCAAGTTGAATTAATGTTCCAGTAATTCTATTTGAAGAATTTTCCTTATTGAAAAAAGATCCTGGAAGAAATTTTGTCAGCTAAATGGAAACTATGGCAAAGGCCAAGTGAACAAAGTTTTTAAAAAAAATTCAAAAAAATCCAGTAAACATTTTCAGTTAAAAGTAAACAGCCATTTATTTCTGATGCCTTTAAACAGACTATTGATCAAAAACGTTTTCTATTTCTATCTTACTTCTAGCAAGGGTAGTAGCGGTTTTACGGGTAACTGAACCGACCGACCACGCCCACCAACCCCCCCCCCCCCACCCCGAGTACCCAAATGGTACCTCTTTGGTACTATTTTAAACACTGCACTTTTTAGACAGTTTTTCGCTCAAAAGTGTCCAAAAAGTGCTAAAAACATCCTTTTTGGACTTTTTTCTATTTTTTTAAGTTCGTCAAAAAAATTGGCCAAAACAGTGACTTTTAGTGTTTTGAGAAAGCTCGGAAAATCAATTTGGTTGACCTAAAAAATCTTCGAAAAGTTTGAAAAGCCACCCACCCCCCTGGTCAAGAGAAAATTTTTATTGGATCCGACCATGGGCAAGACGGTGGCTTTTGATGGAAAAACAACTATTTACTAAATGAAAACTTAAACTCAAGTTCAGTATCGAACGTGAGAAAAATTCAAATTTTAAAAAATAATTAAAAAATACTTTTTTCAAGCTTATGATTACATCAATCTCAACTCAACGAAATAAAAAAAACTTGAAAAAGATGATAGAAGATACTAATGAAATCTGTATTGAACACTATCTAAAATAAAAAAAGCGTACAATTTTCATTTCAGTTCACACTTGCGACCTAGCGAAGTGTAATATGTCGGGGCAAAATCGCCCGGGGTGGAGAACTTCAAGTTTTAAGATAGGCTATAGACTATCCGGTTTTCAGCCTATGTATTAACGTAGGGAATAGATTTCCTATGTATTAAGATAGGTTATAGGTTTCAGATGTTAAGTTTTTTCAGCGCTTGAATTTCCCATAGATTGAGATAGTGTAAAAACTCCCCTATCTATTAGGATTAATAAATTAATTTCAGGGTATAAAAGTAGGGAATAGGTTTCCCAATGTATTAATATAGGGCAGGTTTCAGATGGTAAGTTTCGAAAAGAATTCAAACAGTTTTTGGCGCCCGATTTTGCCGATACATCAATGTTTTCAAACGGAATTGTTAAATTGCTTAAGTATTAAGATAAAGAAAAAAAAAGGTATAACTAAATGCGGATGGTAGGTTTCAGATGAGATTTTTTTGTGCAAAGTTTTCAAGTTTTTGAAAAAATCTCAAATTTTCGGAAAAAGTCTCAATTTTTGGTAAAATTTTCAGAAATCTCAAAGTTTTCATTAAATTTTGTCATCTTTTTTCATCTAGTCGTGAAAAACCAATGCTATAATATGTGAAAAAGCGTGAACACGCAACTGATGATTAATTGGTATCATGTTAAGACAATGACACATAGTTTTGATTAAAAAGAAAGAGTTCTTTTTTCACTTTCTGCTTAAAAAATCTATTTTGATCTATCTTAAGTTAGGGTGCGTAATTTATATCGTTATGACTTCTACAAACAACGCTCAGATTGGCTGAACCAATGTTGAAGATTCCGAATTATCGTAAGAATTGTGAAAATTTCCGTGTTTTTCGAACAAGTAGGGAAAAGTGTCTCATATTAGACTCAGCATCTTTATATTTTTTTTTACATCTTTCATATTCGTTCTTAACAAATTTTTATGTCCAGGTAAGTGAAAACTTTAAATACAGAATCTTTCTCATTGATCATTAATAGCAATAAAAATACAAATTTCATGAAAAAATTAGCTTCATGATTTGTCTCTTCCTCGTTTTTTTTTCAATGATTAAAATCAATGCAAACTCTGAAAAAGTTCAAATTTTCAATGAAATAACAAAACCTTATGTTTTATTCAAGTTTCTTTCAGAATTATCTTGGCATCTGAAAATGATAAATTTTGGAAGAATTTTTAGAGAAAGTTTTCATACTCTGCAACTGTTGTTTATTAACATTTATTCAATTTAAGTGAAAATACAATTTTTCTCGAACTCAACAGTTTTTCTGCTTGTCAAACTACACTAGTACTGAGCCGATCTTGGCGAAAGCTAAATATAAGCACAAAAGAAAGCGGTTATAATTCAGCTAAAACTTCTTCATAACTCTTCGTACAGTCTCTTTTGCTTCTACAACATAAAGCAACTCGCTTTTTACGAAGATGTCTTATGTTCTAAGTTATATTCTGCTTTGTGCTTTATACAGAGTCTCGCTAATAAACTCACTTCGCATGAAAACTTAGACAACACCAGGGAATTTAGAGGTAACATAGTATCATCTGAATGAGCAAAATGCTGGAAGATGTTAAATTAGCAGTGAACATCGAATGTCTGATTATTACTTTCAGTTTGGTACAAATATACGTTTAGCAAAAAAAAATTCCCAAATGGAGTAATTATTTAAATACTTTAAATGTTGTCAGCAGAAAGAAGTTTTTTTTTAAAATAGCACTTGATTACAAGCAAATATTTCGCGAAGTTTTTTTTAATCTTGATTTTTGTCGAATTTTTTTGAAGAACCGGTTAAGTTAGAGAAAAAACCTTTCTAAAGTATTCAATAAGAATACATTAGCGCATTGTAGAAATTAGTTTTATGGGTGTATTTTTACGAAACTTTGGTGGCTGAAATAAGAACAAATCTAATGGACATTATCTAAAAACTTTTTTGGCAGACCTTTCTCTGGAGTTTAATAACAGATACAAAAAAGTTTTTGGAATGAAACTTGATTCGAGCTTTCTGCTTTTTCTTAGATCTACGACAGAAAAAAATTTTCTGAAATTTAAGTCGAAAAAGAAACACGGACAGAAAACTGCATCAATTAATAAGTTAAATAAAATAAATCTTAAGCTAGCTTGACACAACATAGTTCTACAGTTCCTTGTAATATTCCAAATGAAAAAAAAATGAGACAAACCAGAGCAAGAAAAATTAATTAACAGAATGTCTCTTTGATTCGCTTCAAGTTAAATGTCATATTATTTGAAAAAAAAAATAATTCAATTTCTGCTAAAAATATCAATTTGCTTCAAAATTTCCAGCAAAACTTTTAATATTTTTACTCTGAAAGAAGTCTACAAAAAAATTCTTTTTTTTTAAAACAAAGTTAAACCAATTTGGACTTTGAGAGCAGATTTTTGATTTTTGCTTCATCTATTGTTTTCCAAAAGAACTATTTTTGCTTGATTTCAACAAAAATATTGGTAATTTACTGGAAAAATGTATCAACAAACCTAATTTTTTTTATCTCGGAGTTGCTTACTTCAAAAGTAAGTATCCTTTAAACAGTTAAATTTTTGTGTTTTTTTTACTTAATCAAAAATTAAAGAACAATTCATTAGCTTAGGCATAATTACCAATAACTTTTAACCTAAATTGAAACAACTCCTTAAAACTCCTGAAATTGAATTTCTAATTTTTTGTGTCGAAAAACTTCATTTTGAATTGTTCTTGGTTTCTGCTCTATCTGCAAAGTTCAGATTGATTCCAATTTGAACGAAAGTGTACTTGGAAAACATAATCATTTGAACGATCGTTTGAAAATCCAAAACCAAATTGGCACCAAAAACTCCATTTGCTAAGAACCTTCAGAAAATTTATGTGACCAGATAACTGTATGTTCTTGTTTTGATATAAACTCTTCAATTTGAAAGGAACTTCCAGTGAATACTTTTGTGAATCCTTTTCTGAAAACATTCAAGGTCCAACAACATTATCCAAAATTTCATCTTTTCTATATCAGTTATCAAAAACATTAAAAAACTATGGTTTCGATACATAGGCCGTCATTAATTAGATTGAAAAAGCGCTGCTTCAAGATCTCAATCGAAAACACTAAGTTAGGATGTTTGTAAAATGCTATTTAGGAAAAACGAATCAATCAGTCGATGTCTTATGATCATCTGGTACTTTCCTTACAATTTTTTAGTAAACAATTTTTCTTTTAATTGCTCAAATTATGTATTAATTTACAGCAAAAATACGTTAACAAACTCCCTGTGAGCAAGCAA